CGCCTGAGTCAAGCGTGAAAGTGTGCAAGGCCTCAGTTGAGGCAGGACCTGTGGCAGTAGGCGCACTATGTCAGAATCCCAACCACTAGACCATTGGGATAAAAGGGCTTGTTAAGTAGCGGGTCAGTGCGCCCATAACCCCCCAGGACAATGAGCCTGTAACCCTTCCCTAGGATCAATCGGGGATCATCAGTGGACCTCTGACACCCCCTCCGCACTGGGATGCCCGAAGTGCACATACTGGGATTCGAACCCGAGACCTTCACTTTGATACCATGTCAGAATCCCAGTCACTAGACCACTGGGATAAAAAGGCTTTTTAAGTAGCGGGTCAGTGCGCCCATAACCCCCCAGGACAACGAGCATGTAACCCTTCCCTAGGATCAATCGGGGATCATCAGTGGACCTCTGACACACTAGCACCTAGATCGTCGGCAGACTCACGAGCACCTAGAGCTGCAGCAGATTCACCAGCACCTAGAGCGGTAGCAGACTCACTAGAACCGAGAGCAGCAGCCTCTAAACAACCAGGGACGCAGCGCTGAGAAGCACAGTCGCAAGGCCGCTACAGGGAGAAGGTGCTCTGCGGACGCTGCTGCCGCCATTGTGTAGTACCCATAAAACCAAAACCTCCACCACCAGGACTGCCTCGCTGAATAACCCACTCACGAAGCTGCTCAGGGGTGGGGTCGTCCGGGAGAGGCAGTGACTGCTGCTGTCCACCCCTAGCTGTACAACTGCCATGATAGAGGCCATGACAGGCAGTAACAGTCAGTAGCAGGTCCAGCACCTCCAGCACCTCCAGCACTCCCAGCAGCACCTCCACCAGCAGTAGCAGTAGCACGAGCAGCAGCAGCAGCAGTAGTAGCAGCAGGGCGGCTCGGTGGGGCTGGTGAATGAGGCAGGGCGGCGCAACTCGGGTTGGGCAGGGCAGCTCAGGCTGGGCTGCGCGGCTCGGCCTGGGCGGCGCGGCTCGGCAGGGCTGGGCGGCGCGGCTGGGCAAGGCAGGGCGCGCTGCGGGCTGCAGGGCAGGGCGCGTGGTGGACAGGGCAGCAGGGCGCGCGCTGTGCAGGGCAGCAAGGCGCGACGCGCGGGCTGCAGCAGGGCGCGACGCGCAGGGCAGCAGGGTGCGACGTGCGGGCTGCAGCAGGGCGCGACGTGCGGGGCAGCAGAGCGCGACGCGCGGGCTGCAGCAGGCCGCGACGCGCGGGGCAGTGCAGCAGGGCGCGACGCGCTGGGCTGCAGGGCAGGGCAGTGCGGCTCGCGAGCTGCAGGGCAGGGCGGCGCGCGGGCCTAAGAGCAGGGCAGCGCGATGCACGTGCTGCAGGGCATTTGGGCGCGGGGTGCAGGGCAAGGCGGCGCGCGCTGGGCAGGGCAGCAAGGCGCGACTCGCAGGCTGCAGCAGGGCGCAACGTGAGGGGGCAGGCAGTGCGAGTAGCTGCAGGGCAGCGCGACACCGTGCGAGCAGGGCCGGACAGCGCAAGGGCGCTTCGGGCAGGAACTAGCAGAAATATCGGTGGGCCCTAAAAACTTAACAGGTTTCCTGCTCTTAATACCATGTCAGAATAACTGTGCAGGAATGATTGGATTGTGAGAAGATTGACGAGAGAAATGAGTGAGAAAAGGATGATTGCACTAGAAAGCATTGGGATACAAATAGAAAACCCTAACAGGGTTGTACTCACTACAGAGTACCCCACTGCAGACTAGAGAAACATAATATTCTGACACACCCCCATAGTCAAAGTGGGGTATGATCAGCACAAGAAGCAAAGCAAAGCAAGCTCAGGGTGGATCACAATGTCACCACACATTCTGAGCACAAGTACAAGAAGTAACAGTTTAAAGTTCACAATAAATAAGCAAAGCTAGAGGCTATCACAGAGGGCAAGTGAGGAGGAGGAGGCTGGACTAATAGGAGAGGAGAGAGGAGGCAACGGCGGAAGCTGCAGACACACGGGCAACAGGAGCGGCGCGCACTGTGGCTACCGGAGGCGCACCTCCGGACTACAAGAGTAACTGGCTCCGCGGCTAAGACGAGCGGCAGGAGCAACGGACCCACGGGCGACTGGCGCAGCGGCATCACTGGGCTACCGGAAGCGCACCTCCGGACTACTGGCACTGCTAGCAACACGACGGCTACCTCCACCCAACCTCCCTCTACTGCCGCACCCCCCATTCACACACCCCCTGCTGCACCCCTAGGTTCACTCACACTCCACCCCCTAGCACCACTCCGTCGACTCACACACACCCACCCCCCTCAGCGGCAGCTGCAGCAGTGGGAGACGGAGTAGGAGGAGGAGCAGGAGATGCCACACACCCGCCACCCCCATACCCTCCCCCACTGCTGCACCTGCAGCAGGGGATGGAGGAGAAGGGGGGGGGGGGGGGGGGGGGTGCTGTGCATGGCGCATGCAGAGGGCAGCAGGGCTGGCGGGTTGGCCACACCCGCCACCCCCATACCCTCCCCCACTGCTGCACCCGCAGCAGAGAGATGGGGGGGGGGGGGGGGGGGGGTTGGCAGATCCCCTCCCCCCACTGCTGCACCCGCAGCAGGGGGAGGGAGTGGAGAAAAGGGCGGAGAGGAGGGGGTCCAGGGGCAGCTGCTCCAGGGGCCAGGGGCCAGGGGCGGCTGCTGAGGTCCAGGAGCGGCTGCACCAGGGGCGGCTGCTCCAGGGGCGGCTGCTCCAGGGGCCAGGGGCGGCTGCTGAGGTCCAGGAGCGGCTGCACCAGGGGCGGCTGCTCCAGGGGCGGCTGCTCCAGGGGCGGCTGCTCCAGGGGCGGCTGCACCAGGGGCGGCTGCACCAGGGGCGGCTGCTCCAGGGGCTGCTGCACCAGGGGCGGCTGCTCCAGGGGCGGCTGCACCAGGGGCGGCTGCACCAGGGGCGGCTGCTCCAGGGGCGGCTGCACCTGGGGCGGCTGCTCCGACTCACGGCCCCCCCCGCCAGGTCGCCCCTCCCGTCGCCTGTTGAGGCGACCTGAGGGGGGGGGGGGGGGGGGGGGGGGGGGGGGGGTGCGGGGGGGGCAGGCAGGTGCTGCAGGTCCCCTCCCCCCACTGCCGCATCCGCTCCAGGGGGATGGCAGATCCCCTCCCCCCCACTGCTGCACCCGCAGCAGGGGGAGGGAGAGGAGAAAAGGGCGGAGAGGAGGGGGGTCCAGGGGCGGCTGCTCCAGGGGCCAGGGGCCAGGGGCGGCTGCTGAGGTCCAGGAGCGGCTGCACCAGGGGCGGCTGCTCCAGGGGCGGCTGCTCCAGGGGCGGCTGCTCCAGGGGCGGCTGCACCAGGGGCGGCTGCACCAGGGGCGGCTGCTCCAGGGGCTGCTGCACCAGGGGCGGCTGCTCCAGGGGCGGCTGCACCAGGGGTGGCTGCACCAGGGGCGGCTGCTCCAGGGGCGGCTGCACCAGGGGCGGCTGCTCCGACGCACGGCCCCCCCCTCCAGGTCGCCCCTCCCGTCGCCTGTGGAGGCGACCTGAGGTGGGGGGGGGGGGGGGGGGGGGGGGGGGGAGTACGGGGACGCGCGGCCTCCCAGGGCGCCAGAGCAGGCGGAAGAAGGGGCGACGCGCGCCCCCCCAGGTCGCGCCCCCCCCCCCCCCCCCCCGGGTCGCCACGTAAGGCGACGGGAAAAGGGGGGGGGGGGCGGTGCACGGGCGACGGGGCCTGTACGGGGGGGGGGGCCGCGACGAGGGGCCGCGACAGGGTCGGGGCAGGGCCGGGGTCGGGGCAGGTCCGGGACAGGCCGCGAAGGGGCCGCGACGGCCTAACGGGCCGCGAAGGGGCCGCGACGGGCCTAACGGGCCGCGAAGGGGCCGCTGCAGGTCGTAAAGGGGGCCGCGAAGGGGCCAAACTGGCCGCGAAGGGGCCGCGACGGAGGCCTAACGGGCCGCGAAAGGGGCCGCGACGGGCCTAACGTGCCGCGAAGGGGCCTAACAGGCCGCGAAGGGGCCGCGACGGGGGCCTAACGGGCCGCGACGGGCCTAACGGGCCGCGAAGGGGGGCCTAACGGGCCGCGAAGGGGGCCGCTACGGGCCGCAAGGGGGCCTCTACGGGCCGTGCAGGGGGCCTAACGGGCCGCGAAGGGGTCTTACGGGGCCTTACGGGGCCGGAAAAAAAGGGGGGGCCTTACGGGGCCGGCGCTGGCTCTAAGGGCAGGCGCAGGGGCCACGACGGGCCTCGAAGGGAAGGCGCGACGCGCGCGTCGAGCAGGCAGTGAAAATTTCAGTGGTGGGCCCTTTGATCGAAATCGCTCTATACCATGTGAGAAGATTGACGAGAGAAATGAGTGAGAAAAGGATGATTGCACTAGAAAGCATTGGGATACAAATAGAAAAACCCTAACAGGGTTGTACTCACTACAGAGTACCCCACTGCAAACTAGAGAAACATAATATTCTGACATGGATTAGCAAGAGTTGGGGTACTAGTACTAACCCTATAAGTGTTGTACCCCATGAGGAGTGCCCCACTATAGCCTACAACTGAGATTGTACTTAGTCAGTCCCTTCAGGTTCCTTGGGTTTTCGTTGGTTCTCTTCTTGAGTTCCTTTGGTTTCCTTTGTGTTCCGTTCCTTCCTTTCTTGGGTTCTCTTCTTGAGTTCCTTGAAGTTATTGGACAGCACAACGGGGCGCCATGCCAAAAAGAAACAGCATGCAGCCCAATGCATGCTCAACGATGGCTCTACCACACACTCCTCGGAAAGTCGTCTCACAATCTTCTGCATTGTATCACAAGGGTTACATAAATACTGCAAACAATCGAATTCGCTACAGACAAACTACCGCACCTCCCACACCATGCCAAGCCGGTCTGTCCCAGCCGCAAGAAACATCGGCAGGCATTCAAACACGCGCATGAGCAGCACAACAGGTGGGTGGGCACTGGGCATCAGAAACAGGGGTTACCGTATGTGTCCATCACCTGCCACACACCCTCTCTCTCCCTGCTTCGCTGTCAGGAGCTCACTAGGTGGGCCTAAGGCGGCATGTGAAAATGTGACCCCATCAGGTCCCCCCGGTCCCATCAGGAGGCGCCGTGACCCCATCAGGAGGCGCCATGACCCCATCAGGAGGCGCCATGACCCCATCAGGAGGCGCCATGACCCCATCAGGAGGCGCCGTGACCCCATCAGGAGGCGCCATGACCCCATCAGGAGGCGCCATGACCCCATCAGGAGGCGCCATGACCCCATCAGGAGGTGCCATGACCCCATCAGGAGGCGCCATGACCCCATCAGGAGGCGCCGTGACCCCATCAGGAGGCGCCATGACCCCATCAGGAGGCGCCATGACCCCATCAGGAGGCGCCCAAGCGGAAGGTGAGTTCGCGCTCCAGCGCAGGTTCTTTCTCCACCACCGGCTCCTCCAGGTTCACTCGGAACGTCAACTCCCTCTGCAGCTCCGGTGGCTCACACTCCTCCACCTGCTCCCCCCACTGCCCCTGCTCCTGCTCTTGCTCCGGCTGCCCCTGCTGCTGTCGCTGCTGCTGCTGGGCCCTAACAGAGCCGCCACCCCCCCTGCCACCAAACCCTGCAGCTCTCCCCACCCCTCCCTTCCCTCTCCCACCCGGCCCAACCGCACCCCTCCCACTGGCAGCAGCACCAGCAGTGCCACCACGCCCACCTGCACCCTGCATCCTCCCCCTACCCACGTCGCCTCCTCCCCTCCCCGCCTCTCCCCCAACTCTCTGCAAACTCCGTCCTGACCCCACACCCTCCTGCCCCTGCTGCCCCTGCTGCCCCTGCCCCTGCCCCTGCCCCTGCCCCTGCCCCTGCCCCTGCCCCTGCCCTTGCCCTTGCCCCGGTTGCCCCAGTCCCCGCTGCCCGCCCTGCCTCACAGGGGGCGTGCCAGCGTCATCCCCACCACTCCAGAAGAAGTCATCTCCAGGCGCGCTGTAGAACGCCGCTGCAGCCTGAGACTCCGAGCTCGTTCGCCTGTGCCACCCGCCCATGCCCCCTCTGCTGCCCATGCCGCCCCGAGCCATCCCCCCGGCCATGGCACGAACCACGCCCGGGCCCGGGCCTCTCCCGCCCCTACCACCCAGGCTCGGCGCCCCACCCATACCTGCTGCTGCAGATCCGCTCCCACCTGCTCTCCCTCCTCCCACCCCCTTACCCATGCCTCCTCGCCCACTGCTGCCCATCCCCATTCCTAATGCCGCCCCTCCGCCTCTCCCTCCCCCTGCTCCTCTTGCCGCCGTTGCCACAGGCACTGCCCCTTCCCTGTGCACGCCATTACCATTGCTATTCCGCCTCTCCCTCTCGCCCTCCTCGCTCCCACTGAAGCTCACTCTGCTGTGCTCTCCATCACTCCCACTGCTACTCTCACTGCCTCGCGATCGCAAGCTCCCAGGGCTCGCGTCCCTGCTGCCCCCCCCCCCTCCTGCGCTCCCACCCCCGCCCCCTCTCCCCGTCTGTTCCCCTTCCCTCCCCCTCCTCCTCGTCCTCCTCACTCTCGCTCCCGTTCCTCCCACCACCTGCCCCCCGTCTCACCCTATCCAGGTCTTCATACAACGCGTCTACCCTGTCCCTCATCCCATCATCATCATCATAATCATCGCCTCCAGCACCACTCATACTACCACCTTCGTTATAATCACGCATCTCCCTCACACTCCCTCCAATACCCTCTCCCAACCTGCTAAGAGCACTTTCCCCTCGTCTCGTCTCCTGTACGCTCAAAAACCGCGATTTCCCCGCTGCTCCCCCGAGCACTCTCCGCCCTGCCGCGCTCCTGCCTCCGCCCATCCCCCCTGGCATTCCCCCACCGCCCTGCGCGCCAGCGGCGGAACCCCACTCCGCGTGCCCCCCTTCCGCGTCATCCTGCATGGAGCTGAAATCAGTGGTGTGCAGGAATCCCATCTGAGACTCCGAGAACGCGCGGTGGTGCGCGCGCCCGCGGCCCCGCCCCCCCATCCCCCCCATTCCGCCCATTCCCGCCCGCCCGCCCCGGAACGCCATCTCTCCTCTTCCCTCCACGCCTCTGCCCCTCCCTCTTCCGCGCGCTGCTGGGGAAGCAGCGGCAGAAGGAGCAGCTCGACCAGTCCCAATCGCGCCTGAGGTCCTTCCCACAGCCCTCGCTGGAACTGCCACCGGCTCATTGCTATCGTCCTCGTCCTCGTCCTCGTCCTCGTCACTGCCGCTGAAGCTGGCGGTGCTCACGCCGCGAGTCGCCCCCCGTGCTCCTGCTGCTACCCGCGCATCTAATCTGCCGCTGCCCATGCCCATGCTCACGCCCATACCGGAACTTGGAGCCTGGGGCGGAGAGCGGCCGGATATCGCTGCTCCTGGCCCTCCCCCTACTCGGCCGACCCCCCCTAACCCCCCCAACCCCCCTGCCCCCTCGGACCCCCCTGCCCTCCCTGCTCCCCCTCTGCCAGGCGGCAACGGCCTGGCGGTGGGGGAGGCGACTTGCGGCGCGAAATCTTCTACGGGCGTCGACAGCGAGCGGCGGTGCCACGGCCGCGACCCAGCTTGCGACCCTGCCTGCGACAAATGCGACCTAGCCTGCGACCCAGCCTGCGGCCCAGCCTGCGACACTGCCTGCGACCCCGCCGGACCCCTCATGCCGCCACCGCCTCCGCTATTCGCGTTAAAACCAGCACCGCTTCCAGCGCTAGTAGCACCGCTACTAACCGCGCCGCTACCATCGCCACTGCCGCCGCGTCCCGCATTCCCCGCAAGGCCGCTGCTTCCCGCAGAGGCGCGCGGATCCCTGGTCGGCGCACCACCGGAGACCGGCGCGCGGGACAGATTCGCCGAGCGCGACTGCGAAAGCACATGCGCGGAAGCGGAACCTCCTGACGTCACCGCGCCTGAGGAGGAGGAGGAAGGGGAGGGAAATGAGGGTGGACCACTCAACGACTCCGTAACCACGCGCGAGTCGAACGACGCGCCTCGCCGGTGCTGCTGGCGGGCCATCGGGCTGTCGACGGGCGGATTCGCCCCCGCATAGGGCGCGGGGTTCGCGCCGGGGGGGCGCGGGGGCATGCGCAATGACGCGCTCCCCCCTTCTGGCCCGTTCTTCATCCGCTGCGGTCGTAGCCCGCCCCTTCCGCCCATCAATCCCCCGCGGTCAGCGCTGGTATCGGATATGGAGCTTCGGACCGAATCCTGCCGCCCCACCCGCTGCGGACTCTCTTCCTCCTCGTATTCGTCCTCGTCCTCCTCCTCCTCCTCCTCGTCCGCGACTTTACCGCCGCCATAGGAAATCGCGGAAGCTGCGGCGGAGCTCCCCCTCGCGCCTCCCGCTGCCCCGCGCATTGCTGGCACACGCACAGCGGCGGGGCGCGGGCCGGGCGCAACAGATGCTTGGGGGGACCTGCTGCCGGCGACTAACGGCCGACTGCTGCCGTCGCCGTCTTGTGAGGCAGAGCGCACCGGTGACCGTCCCTGCTGCTGCATCTGCGACGGAGGCTGCTGTTGTTGCTGTTGCTGTTGCTGCTGCTGGTGCTGCTGCTGTGGGAAAGATGGTTGCTGCTGCATCGCATGCGGTCTCTGCTGCGGTTGTTGTAACCCTTCGCGGGAAAATGCTTCTGGTGAAAATTCCATGGAGCTCGACGCCTGGCCACCGCTGAACGACATCGCTCTGCGATGGTTACCGGACGCACGCTGTGGTCGCACAAATCCCCGCTGCGGGCCTCCTTGCGACGGTGATAACCCTACATGTGACTCGTCGCCAGGTAACCCGCCTCCCGGCTGGTACCCCGACATTGTTTTCCCTAAAGCGCGCCGAGCGTCGGCGCCGTCTAATTGCCGGCCTGAGAACGTGTTGCTGCTGCCGAGAGGGCGATTACGTGGCGACACGTCGGAAATTGTTGGAGCCGAAAAAGCAGGATTTGACTGAGAAAGGTTTGGCTGAGGGAATGACCGTCTGCGATTGGCTGGCACTTGCTGGAGCCCATTCCTAGAATCTGAGAGCTGCATGGGTCCTCGATAACAGTCGTCATCGTCCTCCATAGCTAATTGGCTGGCCAACTGGACGGAGATCCACGAGGAACACGTGATAATGAGAAATCCGCTTCTGGCTCGACCAGACTTCCTAATACCGAGGTTGAAGGTCCACTAAGGGAGTCAACCCTAACTGGGCAGAGGAGCTAGTCTTCGTAGTAGATGAAGTTGAGGGAGGTAGTGTGGTGGTCTGGCTCGCCTTGGGACTTGACTGCCATAAGGAAACAAGAGGAGCCTTGAGAACAGCGAGTTAGGTTTCCTTTTCATGGGGGAGGAACCTCGATTGTGACAGTGGCTGCCAGAGGTATTGACATCCATGCCACGTCAGTTCCTAGGCGCGGACGGCTGGATGATGATGTGCTGAAGCAAATCGGACGGACCATGCTTCGGTATTGCGGCCTTTGTTTATGGAAAGTTCTTAACGAGGCTTCTCGTATAGTGTGTCGTGTTGTTTGTTGATGGTGGTTGTGGTGAGGCTGGTGACGACCCTTTTTCGCACCATACGGAAGCGACTTGGATTTTCGGCCTTGCGACAAATTGTCGGAGCAGCCGTGCATGGTGCAAGTCGCACAAACAATGAACAAAAGATACTCACTATTCGAAATCCGATAGGAGTGTATGCGAAATACATGTACTAGCTGTGTTCATGCAAGTGATGACTGGAAAGTTTTCAGGATCAACGGAGCTCTATTATTTGCCCAAGGTTCCCGCCTTGATGTGGCCGACCGAGCCGCAGCACCGAGAGCTAATATTAGCCGTGCGATTATGAAGACGTTTTCATCGGTCGGACACGAAGGTCCAGATTTTTTGTCCAAGTCCACCCTAGGTTTGCTCGTGCGATGCGCCACCGTTCCTTGGGCTTGGCTCTTGGAGTTTCCTAGAAATTTTTGTGAAGCTCAAAATGTTTTGGCGCACAAGGAACCCGCTGCGCGTTTTTGACGGGTGACCTCGGGATTGGTGGACCATCCCCTGGCCACGAGCTCATCCCAAGCCGCGTTCCGCCGCCTCGCCAGTCCCTGCTCCGCTCCGCCAGTTCCTTGTTGCGCGCTTCCCCATTCTCTGCACATTATCCGCCTATTCCGCTTGTGATGCTCCGCTCCGCCAGTGTGGTTACCTGTTCCAGCCAATCCAACAGCACCTCGAGAAACACTGGCCCCTGCGCCTGGCGACAGCAAGAAAAGCGCCCCTTCTGCCCCACCCCATCCCAACCACACGCCTAGATGACACCAAGTTGGAGCATGCATGCAACCATAAAGGCCATTCTAGGATAAAAAGCTGAACAGTCACTATATGCTCCTCAGTACGCTGCGCCGTCTCCGTTCTAGTGATCGCTAAATTCATTTCGTGCGGCTCGATCCTCCATTGTTGATTACCTCTGCCTAGTGGGTCCGCTATCATGGCGACTAAGCTGCTCGCATCGACGCCTCTGGCCAAGACAGCCTCAAATGTAGATGAGTTCGAGAAGTTGCGAAGCAACTCCTTTATTCAGCGGACCGCCAGGAGCTTGACTATCATTCAGGCCGGTTGCATCGTCGTCTTCGTTATAGTCATGTAAGTTCTGTGCGTCAGAAATCATCGCCTTCTAGGCAAGTCGGATGGAGTTCTAACGCACCGCGTGCTTTTATTTCAGGGCTTTCGGAATCACTAGACATGGCGGACAAAGACAAAGCACAATAGACGCTTTCTCCGACATGGATGCCTCGACATGGGGCGGAGCTGTGTGGGAAGATCAAGTCAGATCTTCCGCGGCTACTCGAGGAAGCGGGATGGTGGTGCTCGTGACGGGAGCAGCAGGCTTCGTTGGCTCGCACACGTCGCTTGCTTTGAAGAGGAGAGGCGATGGCGTTGTTGGAATTGACAACTTCAATAGCTACTACCCCGTTGCCTTAAAGCGCGCCAGACAGGAGCGACTATTAACAAACGGAGTGTAAGCTTGTCGCCCTTTCCAGCTCCCGTTTCGTCCGTTTTGTGAGAGTCTGAACTTACATCCGTCGACGTGAACTTTTGCAGGTTCATCGTCGAGGGCGATGTCAACGACCAGCGGCTTCTTGCCAAGCTTTTCGAAATCGTCAGATTCACACACGTTCTTCATCTAGCAGCACAGGTAGGGTCCGAAGCTGAGGCCGGAACGCTAGCGTCATCATTTTACGTTCTACGAGCTTGACATCTGAAGTACAAAGCTGAATCCCTGTCCTCCACCTGACAATGATGGTTGCAGGCCGGTGTGCGCTATGCCGTTCACAACCCATTGGCGTATGTTCAGAGCAATGTCGCCGGTTTCGTTACTCTCCTTGAAGAAATTAAGGTGCTATTTCGCCGCTTTCTTTTTGCTTCATCCTTGTGTCCTTTTTGCGGTTGTCACTCAACTCACGCCTCTTTGTTTCGATGTCTCAGAAAGCGGATCCACAGCCGGCAGTTGTCTATGCGTCGTCCAGCAGCGTGTACGGCCTGAACTCCAAAGTGCCGTTTTCCGAAGAAGATCGGACTGACCGCCCTGCGAGCTTGTACGCCGCCACTAAGGTATTGGAGGCTTCTTATTCCAGCACGAAATGTTCGCAAGTTGGTTCATCGTGAATGAATTCAGCCAGGCTTGTGGCGAATGGGCCTGCAATCAATCTATCACTAACGCTTTTGATTCTCTTTCTTCGCTGTGTATGCAGAAAGCGGATGAGGTCCTGGGACACACCTACAACCACATCTACGGCCTCTCCATCACTGCTCTTCGATTCTTCACGGTGTACGGCCCTTGGGGTCGTCCGGACATGGCGTACTTCTCTTTCACGAGGAACATCATGGCCGGCAATCCCATCAAGATCTTCCGTGGGCCCAAGGGAGAGGAGCTTGCTCGCGATTTTACGTTCATTGACGACGTTGTGAAGGGCTGCGTGGCCTCTCTGGACACCGCCTTGCCGAGCGTTGGCAGCAAGGGAAAGCGCCGAAAGGCTCAGTTCCGGGTGTACAATCTTGGCAACACCCAGCCGGTTAAGGTGGGGGACTTTGTCAGCATCCTGGAGAAGCACCTGAAGGTCAACGCCATTAGGGAGTAAGTGACTCTTGTGCCTTTTCCTTAACAATGTTTTCGCATCTGTTCCAAGTTTTGGTATGGATTTCCTTGTCAATGTTTTTATCTGACATTCCGACTCGCTGATTCCTGCAGGGTTGTCCAAATGCCAAGCACTGGGGATGTGATGTTCACGCACGCCAATGTGACCAGGGCAAAGAATGACCTAGGGTGAGTGGAAGGAGCACACATCATCCCTTGCTCTCCAGACTCTTACCGTACACTTCCGTCTAAAGACTCTTTTGGCTTAATGGCTGGCCTGCTTCCTGTCATTGAGCTTCTTCTTGTTTTTGTCTTGCAGGTATAGCCCATCCACGGATCTTGAAGTGGGGCTGCAAAAGTTTGTGGATTGGTATCAGGTTTACTACAAGAGAGGCAGCGGCCATGAGCAATCACTGCAAGGATACAAGCCGTACTGATGGCCCATGGATGCAGCATTGGAGGCGCCGCGCCACTAATTGACTTGTGTAGGGCATTGACACTTCTGCAGCGAGGTTGCACTCAGCTGCCTAACCTGCTAACATGGTTCTGCAGCCTAACTTCCTGATATAGTTCCACACTAGTGCAGGAGTAGGTCTTCGTTCTTTTTTCTGCAGCAATGCTTTAATATCAAGCACCAATATCAGAGGCGTTATTATTTGCAGAAAAACTTGCAGAGCATGCAAAGATAATGGAAAATATACTTAGCCCAAACTAACTAACGCAAGGAGGATCAAGTTCTGCAGTTCATAGGTGCAAGGAGAGGTCAACCACGCCCATTTCAGCAGTACCCCTGCGGGCGTTGGGGATGCTATTGCCTTCACCAACACTGAGAACGTCCCTGTCCCCGAACCCCATAGATTCCTCTTTTTCATGGCTGCTGCATGATCGTTGGCGCTTCAGCTGAAGCAAACCTCGGATTTCCGCAAGCAGCGCTGCTCGTTTGCCCGTGTTGTCGACAAGCTCGCTGCCTTCCTTGGTACCACAGCTATTCGCAGGCTGAGCGTTGCTCATTCCGGACGCGGAGTCATGCATCTGGCTGGATGGGTCGCGCTCCCTTGGGGAATCCTGGTTCGTGCAGGTCGTGAGCCGTGCAGCAGCATCCACTAGCAGCACAACGCCCCCTTCAAGTCGATTGGCAGGAATCGAATCTCCCGCAGTGTGCGCGTTATCAGAGAGACTTCGCTGATAGTTTCGATGCAACGTGCTCCATTGCGGCCTCTTCTTGACGTTGTGGACCGATTTGTGACCGCTCAAGGCGAGCACCGTGGCGAATCGCAGGTGACACACGGAGCACTCGTATGTGAGGTCCAGAGAAAGGGGTGAGGTGGGAGAATCACGAGGATCCAACGCAGAAACGACGTCGGAGAATCCGAATGGCTGTGGTGCGACTAGCGATGATGTCCCTTGCAGGTAATCCTTCTCACAATCCGCAGAGACGGAGCGCAGCGGTTGCATCAAGCCGGCGAAGTCCGCGGCGGCTTCGCAGGCGAAAACATCCGCAGAGACGTGCCTTCGCAGGGAGAGCGTGTTAAAGTAGCCGCTCCACGTGGACCCGCCGCTCTCCGCCGGCTCGTCGCCGCAGCGGGGCGGC